ATGGTAGAGTTATTATTGAAAGAATTAAGAGTAAGATGGAGAATAGGATAGCAGATGAACAAGGAGGCTTTAGGAAAGGTAGGGGGTGTGTGGACCAGGTGTTTACAGTGAAACATATAAGTCAACAGTATTTAGATAAGGCTAAAGAGGTCTTTGTGGCATTTATGGATTTGGAAAAGGCGTATGACAGGGTGGATAGGGGGGCAATGTGGCAGATGTTGCAAGTGTATGGTGTAGGAAGTAGGTTACTGAAAGCAGTGAAGAGTTTTTACGAGGATAGTGAGGCTCAAGTTAGAGTATGTAGGAAAGAGGGAAATTTTTTCCCAGTAAAAGTAGGCCTTAGACAAGGATGTGTGATGTCACCGTGGTTGTTTAATATATTTATAGATGGGGTTGTAAGAGAAGTAAATGCGAGGGTCTTGGCAAGAGGCGTGGAGTTAAAAGATGAACATTAAAATGGTATAAAATACCGACAGGTTGTTAGGTAAGACACATATGCAACAGTTAGGTATCTTTATTTCGAAACGTTTCGCCTACACAGTAGACTTCTTCAGTCGAGTACAGAAAAGTTGATAGAAGCAGAAGAGACTTGAAGACGATGTAATCAGTCCATCACCCTTAAAGATGGGTGATGGACTGATTAAATCATCTTCAAGTCTCTTCTGCTTCTATCAACTTTTCTGTACTCGACTGAAGAAGCCTACCGTGTAGGCGAAACGTTTCGAAATAAAGATACCTAACTGTTGCATATGTGTCTTACCGAGTTAAAAGATAAAGAATCACACACAAAGTGGGAGTTGTCACAGCTGCTCTTTGCTGATGACAATGTGCTCTTGGGAGATTCTGAAGAGAAGTTGCAGAGATTGGTGGATGAATTTGGTAGGGTGTGTAAAAGAAGAAAATTAAAGGTGAATACAGGAAAGAGTAAGATTATGAGGATAACAAAAAGATTAGGTGATGAAAGATTGAATATCAGATTGGAGGGAGAGAGTATGGAGGAGGTGAATGTATTCAGATATTTGGGAGTGGACGTGTCAGCGGATGGGTCTATGAAAGATGAGGTGAATTTATTTATTTATTTATTTATTTATTTATTATAAATTTGAGCACACATACAGAGGTACAAAAAAAAAAAAAATACAGATAAGAGCAGCATGCCAAAGCCACTTATACTATGCATAGCATTACGGGCTGGCTTAAAATTAACTTAAGATTAACTAAGCAATGATGAAGTCAGTGATAAAACAACATTAATGTAAACAGATTACTATAAAGCACAAGTTAGATTCGGTTTTAGGTTTAACATTTATGTGATATAATTGTGAGAAACATTTAAGATATACAATTTATAAGGTTCAGTTATTCAGTATTTATTTGGTTTTGGGTGAGTAAGTGATCTTTGAGTAGAGACTTGAATTTATAAACAGGTAGTGTTTCTTTTATATTTACAGGTAATGAATTCCAGATTTTAGGGCCTTTTATGTGCATTGAGTTTTTGCATAGTGTGAGATGAACACGAGGAACATCAAAGAGTGATCTGTGCCTTGTGTTATGGTCATGTGTTCTGTTGAGGTTGGCAAGGAGATGTTTGATGAGGGGAAAAGAGTGAGTGGTGCACTTAGGAGTCTGTGGAGACAAAGAACTTTGTCCTTGGAGGCGAAGAGGGGAATGTATGAGAGTATAGTTTTACCAACGCTCTTATATGGGTGTGAAGCATGGGTGATGAATGTTGCAGCGAGGAGAAGGCTGGAGGCAGTGGAGATGTCATGTCTGAGGGCAATGTGTGGTGTGAATATAATGCAGAGAATTCGTAGTTTGGAAGTTAGGAGGAGGTGCGGGATTACCAAAACTGTTGTCCAGAGGGGTGAGGAAGGGTTGTTGAGGTGGTTCGGAGATGTAGAGAGAATGGAGCGAAACAGAATGACTTCAAGAGTGTATCAGTCTGTAGTGGAAGGAAGGCGGGGTAGGGGTCGGCCTAGGAAAGGTTGGAGAGAGGGGGTAAAGGAGGTTTTGTGCGAGAGGGGCTTGGACTTCCAGCAGGCATGCGTGAGCGTGTTTGATAGGAGTGAATGGAGACAAATGGTTTTTAATACTTGACATGCTGTTGGAGTGTGAGCAAAGTAACATTTATGAAGGGGTTCAGGGAAACCGGCAGGCCGGACTTGAGTCCTGGAGATGGGAAGTACAGTGCCTGCACTCTGAAGGAGGGGTGTTAATGTTGCAGTTTAAAAACTGTAGTGTAAAGCACCCTTCTGGCAAGACAGTGATGGAGTGAATGATGGTGAAAGTTTTTCTTTTTCGGGCCACCCTGCCTTGGTGGGAATCGGCCAGTGTGATAATAATAAAATAAAAGAGGGTAAGGTACTAGGGATTGGCAGAGAGCATGAATAGTTCCTTTGTATAAAGGCAAAGGGGACAAAAGAGAGAGAGTAAAAATTTTAAGGGAATAAGTCTGTTGAGTTCTCCATGAGGAAGTGGAACAGAATTCTTCCTCCATAAGCCATGTGTGTCGTAAGATGCGATTAAAATGCCAGGAACAAGGGGCTAGTAACCCCTTATCCTGTATACATTACTAAAGTTAAATTTTTTTTTTTTCCACCACCCTGCTTCGGTGGGATACGGCTGGCTTGTTGAAAAAAGAAATTGTTGAGTATACCTGGTAAAGTGTATGGTCGAGTTATTTTTGATAGAATTATGATTACGACGAAGAGCAGGATAACATATGAACAAGGCGGCTTCAGGAAAGGTAGGGGGGTGTCTAGACCAAGTGTTTGCAGGGAAACACATAAGTGAACAATAATTTGGATTAGGGTGAAGAGGTTTTAGTGGCATTAATGGATTTGAAAAAGGCACATGATAGGGTGGATAGGGGGGCAATGTGGCAGATGTTGCAAATCTATGGAATAGGAGGTAGGTTACTGAAGGCAGTGAAAAGTTTTTACGAGGATAGTGAGGCTCAGGTTAGTGTGTGTAGGCGAGAGGGGGATTATTTCCCAGTAAAAGTAGGCCTTAGACAGGGATGTGTATTATGTCACCATGGTTGTTCAATATATTTATAGATGGAGTTGTAAGACAAGTGAATGCAAGGGTGTTGGCAAGAGGTTTGGGGTTAAAAGATAAAGAATCTAGCAAAATGGGAGTTGTCACAATTGCTCTTTGCTGATGATAATGTGCTTTTGGGCGATTCTGAAGAAAAGTTGCAAATGATGATGAAAGTTTTTCTTTTTCAGACCACCCTGCCTTGGTGGGAAATGGCCGGTGTTAATAACAATAATAAAAATTTAATGAAGAGCCAGATGTTAGTGGGGAAGGGGGAGGTGCATGAGGCATTGGGTGGGAATCGGCCGATGTGTTAATAAAAAAATAAAAAAATGACAGAAATGTTTAATGAAGGTGGGGATACAGTGTTGGAGTTATTGGTACTTTTGTTCAATGAACATATGAAAGAAAGGAAGGAGCCTAGGGACTGGCAGTGTGCATAGTCCTTTATATAAAGAGAAGAGGGATAAAAAAAAAAGAGAGAGTAAAAGTTGTAGAGAAATAAGGCCAGGTAATAGACAATGTCCACATGATTCTTTAACAGACTGGGTTGTATAAGAAGTGAATGCTAGTGTTGGGGAAACAGGCAAGATTAAAATATTCAGAATCAAATACAAAATGGGAGTTGGCACAGTTAGTCTTTGCTGATAATACTGTGCTTCTGCAAGATTCTGACAAGAAGTTGGAAAGGTTAGTGGATGAGTTAGAGGGTTTGTAAGGGTAATAAGTTTAAAGTGAACACAGATAAGAGTCATATAAGGGTATCAACTGAATTAAGTAAGAAAAAACTGAATGTCAGATTGAAGTAGTGTGTGTGGAAGAAATGAATAAGTTCAGATATTTGGGAGTGGACATGTTCGCAGATAGGTATATGAAAGATGAGGTAAACTATAGAACTGATAGAGAAAGGTTAGTGGTGCACTGATGTATCTGTGGAGATGAAGAAATTTATCCATGGAGGCAAAGAAGAGAATGTATGAGTATAGTGGTACCAACACTCTTATATCGGTGTGAAGCATGAGTGGTGAATGTTGCAGTGAGGAGGAGGCTGGAAGCAGTAAAGATGTCATGTCTAAGGGCAATGTGTGGCATCAATATTGTGCAGAGAATTTGTAGTTTGGATATTAGGTGCAGGTTTACTGAAAGTATTATCCAGAGGGCTGAGGAGGGGTTGCTGAGGGGGTTTGGTTGTTCAGAAAGGGTGGAGCAAAAATAGGATGACCTGAGGATGTATAAATCAGTAGTTAAGGCAGGGTACGGGGTTCATCCTAGTAAAGGTTGGAGGATCATTATAATCATGGGGAGAGCTAAACCTGTAGGGAATATACAGCAGCTGTTGGGGAAGGGATGGAAGGTATTCAGGCTCAATGCAAGGAACTGGAGCACAGATCCAATCCCTAGATCAAGAGCCTCTCACCAGCATCAAGGAACCTCCCTTGAGGGGACAAAAAAAGGTTGGAGGAAAGGGGTAAAGGAGGTTTTGTGTTGAAGGGGCTTGGACATACAGCAGGCATGTGTAAGCATGTTAGAAAGGAGTATAGACAAATGGTTTTTGGGACTTGAGCTATTGGAGTTTGAGCAGGGTAATAGTTTGTGAAGAAATTCAGGGAAAGCAATTAGCTGGACTTGAGTCCTGGAAGTGGAAAGTACAGTGCCTGTACTCTAAAAGGAGGGGATTAGGATATTTGCTGTTTAGATTGACATCTAAACTGTCGGATCTGTGCACTTCTGACAAGACAGCGATAGTAAGAATGATGGAGAAACCTTTGCTTTTTCCTGTCACTTTGCCTCGGTGGAACACAGCCAGCATATTGATAAAAAATGATACACAGTTAAAATTTTTTAAACCTGAGTAACATAAAACGAAATGCCAAATAAATATAAACTAGAATAAGCATGGAAAACATTAATGCAAATGCTAACATGGCAACCCCCTAATACTGTAACACAAATACAAATACCTTCCTGGCATTTTCTAGTTCCTTCTTCAGTTGGTCTAAAGTCCACAATAAATCCTCTTTGCTGTACTGGCCTTCAGAAGCTTCAGCTCTCTGGGTTTCCAATGTCTGAGGGCAAAGAACTATCAATAATTTCATGGGTAAGAACTACATCCATAAGTATCATACAGTGCCTGGTGAATGGGAAGTAAAGGGGTTTGATTCAGGGAAAGAGTATAATAATATTTCTACAAGTACATGATACAAATTATACAGGCCATAGCTGACATCAATGACCTACTTTATAGCAATCCCCTGGTAATGTACAACATTTTGGGTAACTTGGGTCAATTTTATCCTCAGGATGTGACCCACACTAGTCGACTAACACCCAGGTACCTACTTGCTGTTAGGTAAACAAGGACAGCAGGTATCTTAAGGAAACATGCCTAAATGTTTCAACCTGTACCAAGGATCAAACCATGGACCTCAATGTGTGAGCTGAGTGTGCTACGAACCATAGCTCCATTTTCATAGATTAAGAACCCTTTACTATCATAAAGGCAATTTCCCTTTTAGAGTGACAAGAGAAAACATCTCAAATTTCTTGCCTTCTTTTCCTGATTTTTAATTTTCTTTTGATTATTAATCTTAATCTATCTGGAATGTTCTTTTCATTATTTCACTATCCCTCATTCTCTCTTCTTAAATATCTTGATTATCAACCCCAGACAAAATGTGTCCAAACATTTAGCCCTTTCACAGTCGGTCCTGTTGTATCGTGGCTTTGAAGCCAATCTCGGTCCCGTAGTTCAACGCCATAACCTCAGATAAGCTGTGACTGGTAAATTTGGGGCTAGATATGAGAGAATAGGTCTGTGTGGTAAGTAAACACCAAATAAAAAAAGTACATCAGCACAGTGCATAATGAGGATAAAAACCCGACCGTGTTTTTGGTGAACAACAGTGACTTTGTGGTGTCTTTTCATATGGTTTTTATGGTTGTGTTCTCGTTTTTTTGGTCTCGTTTGATAGAGTGGAAGATATATTATAGAAATAGAGATGATTTTGATTGGTTTTCAGGACAAAAAGTACCTTGAAATTGAGCTCAAAGTTCGATCTTTTCCATAGTTCCAGAGTACACAAATGAAGTCACTCATCCAGTAAGTGTCCAATTGGCCAGTCTAATATGTGGTCATGAATGGGTTGACGTTATTTACACACTTATTACAATAATGCAGTAGTCTGTATAACAATAAATCTTCCATTTTTTGAGTGAATAAAAACTCAATATGAAATGCAAGAGTAATATAAGAGGGGCCTGGAGATGTGACTAAAGAACAGAAATTATTTTCGTGCTAGGAATGTTTGTACTGTTTATTCTGGACCCTATTTTGAAATTGGGATCTCTTTAAATTTGTGTGAAATTGGCCAAATAACCAATTTCTGATCACTATTAGGTAGTTGAAATAGGTAAATGGGCAGTTTCCTGTACTCAATCAACAGAATAGAAATAACAGCAAAATAGCTATGAGTTTGGTTAACTGGAACAATGGAATTGGCCAGAAATAAGGCATAAAGTGGCAAAAATCGCCAATGTGTAAATATCGCCGAGAATGCTAAATTTGTGAGGGCATTATACCCTAAGTTTTCTATCAAATTTCGTACATTTGGTTTCATTACCTTCAGAAAAAGATTCTTTATCATTTCAAACAATAGTTCTTTTTTTACCCTTTGAGGTTTCAAGCCACAGATCTACATCATGAGCTCGTCTCACTCATAAGCTGTGAGTGGTAAATTTGGGCCTAGATATGAGAGAATGCATCTATGTGGTAAGTGTGCACCATATAAAAAATTCTGCAGTACGCAGTGCATGAGAAAAAAAATGCGAGTGTGTTTTTTTGGATTAAAACACTAAATTTGTGGTGTATTTTTGTATGGTTTTTATGGCTGCATTCTTGGTTTCTTGGTCTCATTTGATAGAATGGAAGATATGTTACAGAAATAAAGATAATTTTGATTGATTTTATTCTGAAAGTAAGCTGAAATTGAGCTCAACATACCAGAAATGTTCGATTTTTGCCGATGTTCAAGAGTAAACAAGTCACATCATGCGTCCAAAACACGTCAGCTGGTGAGTCTAATGTGCATTCATGAATGTACAGTGGACCCTTGACCAACGATGGTATCGTGTAACGATAAAATCGCCTAACGATGCATTTGAGCGTAAAAATTTTGGCCAGACCAACGATGAAAAACACGAGTGACAACATTCATCCCGAACGCGTCCATGTGTCCGTCTGGCCTGAGTGCACCTCAGTTGCCCTGTCTTCAGTTAGTGTGCTAGTGTTTACAAGCCAGTGCGGTCACTTCCACACATATATTTGGAAATTGTGGCCACAATGTGTACACGAGAGGGATTTTGAAGGGTTTGGGGGTAACCCTGAGAAGCCTATGCCAGTTGTGGAATCTACTGTGGCATTGGGGAAGTCCTTGGGGGTTGGAGGTTAGTGGGGAGGAGTTGGTGGAGAACGACGATGAGGAACTAACCACTGACGAGCTGCAAGAGCATCTGCAACAGCAAGGGGCAACAACTGAGGAAATTGCATCAGAGGAGGGGAGAGAGAAATGGAGGAAGTTGCCTTCTTCAACGATTAAGAAAATTTGTACAATGTGGACAAAGGTGCAAACCTTCATGGAAGAAAATCACCCTGACACAGCTATTGCAAGCCGTGCTGGTGACTTTTTACAATGACAATGTTGTGGCCTATTGCGACCCCTGAATGGGTCACAATGTATATAATGTATATTACCTGTTCATATAATTTTGTATTGCTTATATTTGCATTATTAGCTAAATCGTAAATATATTGCTTTATATTATTATTTGACTTAGTTATATTATTAGGTAGGATGTAACATTTATATACTATTCAGTGCTCATAGTTCAAGAGTGTTAAGTAGCTGACAGCATTGTCTAACTACTGTAATTATCACTTCGCTTGTTTCCCTGCTGGCTTCTCTGTAGTTGCTGGGCAGCAGCAGTCCACGGAGAGTCACGTGATCAGCGTGGGGTGATCACACCTTGCCTGGAGGAGAGTCTGCCAGGCCTGTGCTTGCTCTCTTGTCTGTTTGACGTTGCTTCCAATAAGACGTGCCTCTCCAGCTCTCCATTGCGGGCCCTTGTTGGAAGATCATCTCTGTTGCTTTCTTGTTGTTGGTTCTGTGTAACTCTGTTCACAGAACAAAGCCTAGACTTAGTGATTTTCGATGTTGTACTGAGGTTGTGTCTCTCATAGACACTCTGAGAAACTCAGGTCCTGAGCTGTAGCTTCTGACCTAATTTGTACTGGTATCTGTGTACTGTCACAGTCAGGGATTTTCTAATGCTGAACTTAGATTCAGTAGTATGGGAGTTTTGAGACTTTTGTGGAGGATCTGCAGATGGTACCTACTTAGTGTCGTTATATTATCTCCTTGTTCCTGATTCTGTGTCGCTGTTGCTTGTTATATTGCTGTTCGGCTTATCAGTCGTTTCATTATTCAAGTAAGCTGTTCTGATTGCCAGGTTGGTCAAAAAGTTAGTTTATGTGAGGACTTATAGTCAGTTACTGGTTAAGCATAGTCGAGTCTTGAGACATAGTGAACTACTTAGAGCACGCACACACACACACTTGTACAGTGGACCCCCGCATAGCGATATTAATCCGTGCAAGAGAGCTCATCGTTATGCGAAATTATCGTTATGCGAATGAATTTTCCCCATAAGAAATAATGGAAATCAAATTAATCCGTGCAAGACACCCCAAAGTATGAAAAAAAAATATTTTTACCACATGAAATATTAATTTTAATACACACAAACTGAAAAAGGCATGCACAATTACATGACACTTACCTTTATTGAAGATCTGGTGATGATTGATGGGATGGGAGGAGGGGAGAGTGTTAGTGTTTAGAAGGAGAATCCCCTTCCATTAAGACTTGAGGTGTCAAGTTCTTTTCTGGGATTACTTCCCTTCTTCTTTTAATGCCACTAGAACCAGCTTCAGAGTCACTGGAGTTCTGTCGCACAACATATCTGTCCATAGTGGCCTGTACCTCTCGTTCCTTTATGACTTCCCTAAAGTGTTTCACAACATTGTCAGTGTAATAGTCACCAGCACGGCTTGCAATAGCTGTGTGAGGGTGATTTTCATCCATAAAGGTTTGCACTTTCAGCCACATTGCACAGATTTCCTTAATCTTTGTAGTAGGCAATTTCTTCAATTCTCTCTCCCCTCCTTCGAACCAGTTTCCTCAGGTTGGCCTCTTGCTGTTGAAGTTGATCTATCAGCTCATCAGGGGTTTAGTTCTTCATTGTCCTCCCTCCACCAACTCTTCCACATCATCCCCACTAACCCCAACCCCCAAGGACTTTCCCAATGCCATAATGAATTCCTCAACTGGCAACTCTCTCAGGGTTAGCCTCAAAAAAACCCTTCAAAATCCCTTTTGTCTACACATTCTGGCCACAGTTTCTTCCAAGTGAGTTCAGGTCCTCTTAGTCACTCCCTTCCCAAGCCTTCCCTATAAGGTTTACACATGAGGATATTAAAGTGATCTCTCCAAAACTCTCTTACAGTCAGTCGAGTTTCTGAGGTCACTACAAAGCACCTTTCAAACAGAGCTTTTGGGGTCATTTTTTTGAAGTTTGCAATAACCGGCTGGTCCATGGGCTGCAGGAGAGGAGTGGTATTAGGAGGCAAAACTTGATGTTAATGAATTTCATGTCCCCATAAAGTCGCTTGCCCACGTCTGTAGGATGACCAGGGGCATTGTCTAACACCAGGAGGCACTTAAATTCTAATTTCTTTTCAGTTAGGTAATCTTTCACATTGGGGGCAAATGCATGGTGTAACCAGTCATAGAAAAAGTCCCTAGTGACCCATGCCTTACTGTTTGCCTCCACAGCACACACAAATTTTCCTTGAGGACATTCTTTTGCCTGAACAGTCTGGGAGTTTCGAGTGATACACTAATAAAGGCTTCACTTGCAATCACCACTACATTGGAACACATCAACAGAGTAAGCCTGTCTTTCATAGGCTTATGTCCTGGGAGTGCCTTTTCCTCCTCAGTAATGTAGG